GGATTTTTTGGGGGGAAAAGGGGGAATTTGGGCAGTGGGATGATGGGAATCCTTTAGGGAGCTGTGGGGGAGGATTTTTGGGGGGAAAAGGGGGAATTTGGGCAGTGGGATGATGGGAATCCTTTAGGGAGCTGTGGGGGAGGATTTTTTGGGGGAAAAGGGGGAATTTGGGCCGTGGGATGATGGGGTGTCCCCGGGCCAGGACCAGCTGCTGTTCTGCGACGACTGCGACCGCGGGTACCACATGTACTGCCTGACCCCACCCATGTCCGAGCCCCCCGAGGGTGAGTCCGGCCGCGGGGGCTGATCCTGGGATCCCATCCCAGATCCTTCCCTGGGATCCTGATCCCCGGGATTCCACCCCAAATCCTTCCCTGGGATCCTGATCCCCGGGATCCTGATCCCCTCCCAAAACCTTCCCTGGGATTCTGTCCCAAAACCTCCCCCAGGATCCTCTCCCAGATCCTTCCCTGGGATCCTGATCCCCTCCCAAAACCTCCCCTGGGATCCTGCCCCAAAATCTCCCCCGAAATTCCTGATCCCCCGGGATCCCACCCCAAAACCTCCCCTGGGATCCCCCATCCCCCCGGGTTCTCCCTGGGCTTCCCCCTGGGATGTGGGGAGGGTTTTATTGTCCCAAATCCTCCTCTTCTTCCTCCTCTTCTTCCTCTTTTTCCTCCTCTTCCTCCTCTTCTTCCTCTTCCTCCTCTTCTTCCTCCTCTTCTTCCTCTTCCTCCTCTTCCTCCTCTTCTTCCTCTTCCTTCATTCTCCTTTTCCTCCTCCTTCCTTTCTTCTCCTTCTCCCTCCTCTTCCTCTTCCTCCTCCTGTCCATCCTCTCCCTCCCTTCCTTTTCTCTTCCTCTTTTCCTCCTCTTCTTCCTCCTCCTCTTCCTCCTCCTCTTCCTCCTCCTCTTCCTCCTCCTCTTCCTCCTCCTCTTCCTCCTCCTCTTCCTCCTCCTCTTCCTCCCTCCCCTTTCTTTGGTCTCTTCCTTCCTCCTCCTCTCCTTTCCCTCCTCCTCCTCCTTCCTCTTCCTCCTTTCTGCTTCTCCCTCTCCCTCCCGCCCTCACTGGTTAATTGGTTGATGGGTTAATTGGTTGATGGGTTAACTGGGTGATGGGTTAACTGGCCGGTTAACTGGCTGGTTAGTGGCCCCTGGGGAGGAGGGGGGCCGAGGCCGAAGGCTGCTCCGTTCCGCAGGGAGCTGGAGCTGCCACCTCTGCCTGGACCTGCTCAAGGAGAAGGCGTCGATCTACCAGAACCAGAACAGCTCCTGATCCGCTCTTCCTCCCGTGCCCACGGCCTCCTCATCCTCACCTTGCCCTCCTCATCCTC